TATATATGTATATATATATAATATACGTAAGGAAATGCCGCGGAAATACCGCGAGGACGCGTTCCGTTCCGGGTTCTCGCGCTGCTACCTCATAATTATTCCACCGCTCTCGCTTACGTTCTTAGCGGAATCGACACGATGGCTATAACAAAGCTGTATATCGCTAACTAGGACGATAATCAATTTGTTTTATAATATTTACGAGTTTCTTTTGCATTTTCTTATTAAATCGTTTCGTATCTATCTTCGCATTCTCTCTGGGCTGTTGTTTCATTTTTCCCACTCGCTTGTTTTTACAATTTATTTCTTTCATGTTTTACGCTAAAAATTGAATTAGTTTCAATCAGCATGCTGCGCTGTTTTGATTTATTTCTGTAAAATGTAGTGTTCTAACATGAACAAACCCATATAACAATCAGATAATCTCATATTATTTAATCTATTTCTATCTCATTTTATTGTTACATCGTTGCTATAAATTCTATGCCCCGTTTTGCAAAAAAACTCAGAAAAAGGAAAGTTAATTTTTTTACGTTTATAATTTGAAATATTGTTGATAGAGAGGAAAGGATATTTATTTCTTAATTTATTCTTTCGTGTTCTGCTAATGGATATATGAGAATTTTAAATAAAATTTTCTTAAAAATATATATGATAAAATAGGAACGAAGCAATCCGGTTGCCAAGCATCAATAATTCAATACGCTTGTATGCTCTTACTACAGGAAATCTCTTTGCGATAGATAATGTGTGTGAGATAAACTATATGAATATGTATATATATATATATATCGTTTTCTTCTTGAAAAGTCACTTTCTTTCCAATACAAGAGTAATACGTCAGTTATTCCTGCGGAACTTGTTAGACCAAATTCTCCTTCGTTATCGCGTTATTGCAATGAGTCGCGGGACACGACAAGATAAATGGAGAACGTCGAGGCGACGCGACGCGACGCGACGCGACGCCATCTTCTCTATTATAAGATATTATACGACGTAATGTATCGGCTCGTTAAGTTCCAGCGATTCTAGCGCGCACGATAGATGACATAGTCGACTCCGTCGCTCCCTCTCATCCCCCATTCCCCGTCGCCGACCGAGATTTCCCATACCAGTGCCAACAGCCAAAGCACTACGGTGCTCTCTCCACCCTTATTGTCGGGAGTGTTTCAAATGCGAATGTAATATTCGCGTACCATTAACCCCGAACATGTGTAGGGCGTAATCGTTTCAACCCCGAACAGCCCTTCTACGGACCGTCGCGCCGCGAGAAGGGAGCCGCCGAATAGGGGCGAGAGCGATTCCATAAACCCCAAACAAACGGGCGCGCGCGATGCTCCTCCGAGTAGGTTTGATAACAATCGGTACGCGAGTAACATTGTCGACTTTACGACGGCGAGCGAGCGAGCGAGCGAGAGTAAAGAGTTTTCCTAGATAACCCAACCGCGTTCGAGTACGAGCGTAAGCGCGCGCCGCCTTTCTTCCGACATCTGACACGATTCGCATTCAGCCAACCAAACCGCGAGCAACTCTCGTGCTCCCGCCTCCGTGTACACTTCGATGTCCTGTCTACCTATCCTGACCTTTCGCTCAGTGCGCTCTACAAACGACGCATTCGCGATACACCGCCACGGGAATCGAGCCAAAAGCGGCTCAATCTCGGCACGGATGGTAGAAGAAATCAGTAGCTGTCAGTTGACTCTCTGGAAGGCAATAACGCGCACGAATCAGACAATACGGGGGGGGGGG